AATAATACAACTGAGTCACAGGAATTTTCATGGAATCATTTTAATGTATCTCAGGTAGTTAGATGTACATAGGATATTTTTTGTTCACTTGAACTTCAGTTTCAACAATTGAAATGGACAGTGATGGATGCTTCATATCTTTGCTAATGAAAAATCAGAGTGAGCTTTACTGCCCAAAGGATCTTAAGTTAGTCCTAGCATGAAGTTGTTCTTTTGCTGCATTAGGCATCGAAAATACACCTTTGTCTAATAAGAGGAATAAGGATCCACATCTTCTTTTCCCTTCTGGCATGGACTTACAGCATGACATGGGTAAGTTGTTTTCCTTTTTATCTGACTTCTATAACATAGCAAGGAATAGAAGAACATTGAATTAGAAAGTATTCAGTGTTGCATTTGAGTGATGCATAATTTGGGTATTAAATTACATCTGTTGTTGCATTAGTATACTGTGTTGGGAAACATTTTTAAGGACTATTTCATTCCTTGGAACTATTTAATATGTACTAATGTCTAGCACTGGATTATGTGAAAAATAAATATTCTTAAGTTTCCTTTCCCAACTTCAGATTCCATGATTTCTCTTTTTGAAGCAAAAATTATGAGCATAGCAAGGTATGATGTTGAGAGCACTGTCCATTCTTTTCCTCTTTTTCATTAACTTTGCAAGACTTCCTGACTTAAATGTTTTTTTAACATTTTCTGTTGTCTGACACTTAAAATGCTAATACCTCATCATTGTAATTTAATATATCTCAGCTCTCTGTTGGTTTAGACCCAATCCTTTTTATGAAGAATGACTGTTTTTGTAGTCACAAAAAGCCAAGTACCTTTAGTCAAAAGCATTTACACCCTACAACAGATCTGTCCAGACTTCTTTTGAGGTTGCAGAGAGGATCGGTGACTTGCTGCACTGTCCAGACAGGTCTGGCCACTGAGCTGATGTGAGTGTGCCAGTACATATGACTGGGCATCTGAATGTGAACAAGTGCATGAGAAGGTGTTCAAACACATGATGAGTCTGAAAAACTACTCATATGGGGCTTAGATACAGAATTCTGAGTAAGTCAAATGAAGAGAGGATGTTTTTATGCTGCAGTTACTTCAGCAAAATCCTAGCCTTCAGATAGCTTTGAGAGAGCTTAGTCTCTTGAGCTTTCCTAATATTCTGCCCTTGGGCACTGCAGAACATCCCATCCTGCCTATGACTCAGGCCAAACATCCTTTGTTGAAGTCTCTGGTAAAGGCTCCTTTCCGCATAGTATCTTCCACACAACAAAAACCCCTCTGCCAGGTTCCTGTTACCTCACAGCAGGAGCATTGCTCCTGTTCTGTGGCCTGAAAATGCAGACCTATGAAGTGAATGGGACCTGCTGAATGAAAGGGACAAATCCCTGCTCTCCACACATCTGTCTTCTAGGCCATGCTCTAATACCTTTCTGTGCACCAGTACCCAGCACTGGTGTCTGCTGAGGCAGCAGGGGGAACATGAGTGTTCCTTTGCATAGTGGAGACATGAATTGCTTTGTCTGTCTTGTGCCAAGTCCTTACTCAATTCAGATTTATCAGTAGTTCTACCAGCTTGTGATTTGAAATCAGCTTCTTTGAGCTTACTAGATTCTTCTATGAAATGTTGCAATTACATTTCAACATTCATTTATAGTCTGAAATTGAGTAACATTTTGATAAGCAAATGTAACATTGCAGAAATGTGGACCTTGCAAACAAACGAACAGGCAAACTCTTGACACCTTCCTGCTGTATTTATAGAGCCTGGATGTTGCTATGAGGTACTGAATGTTCTGTTTATTTCTTTGTGCTTACATGAACTCTCACTGGTTATTGGAGAAGAAGTAGGAAAACGGCAGCACAGAGTTGTGATTCAAGACTAAAAGCAAGCTTAAATCTTAATGCAGCACCTTCTGTCATTGTACCTTGAGTTTCTGTTTCTTTCCAAAAGACTTAGCAGGATGCAGTCAATAAAATATTGCCTTTCCTCTTCTTTATTGAAGATCTCAGAATAAGGGTAACAGGACAGGTACCAAGTATCAGTTCTGTTATTTGTGTCTCTTTCTGGCTAAGGTGGAACCCAAAACCAAGTTAAAACATTCTCTGTTGATTTTCAGTGAGTAAAGAGGGATTGATCTGCTGTGAATCAGCTGACCAGCTTCTCTCACTTGTGGAGGAGTTCTCTACTAGTGCAGGGACAGAACAGCCACTTGGGAAAGGCTGCAGTGCTGCAGACAGCTCAGAGGAGGGAATTCTCTACTTGGGGTGGGGTTTGTCACTCACCTGGCAATCTGGGAAGTGTAGATCAGCTTGACAGCATCTAACTAATGCAGACTAGAGGGACTTACATACATGTTATGCTAAATTGTAATTGCCTAGGTGTCAGTTTGAGTTCTTCTTTGCATATAAACATTAAATTACACTGCAAAGTCACCTATGAACTTGAGATATTTCCAGCATGCCAACATTTTAAATTGTTGTCCTTTGCATTCAAATTTGGGAGTGTTTCTTTAGCATCTTAATCACTGCTTTGAGACCTAATTTTAGACACACCCATTTTAAAGTATTAGCTTTGAATTCTTATTGTTTAATTTACAAAAGGATATGTGTTCTAAAAGTGCTTTAAAATTTTAGGATCAGATAACATCAAATTAATAATAATTTAATTTTCATTTAAAAATGCATTATTTAATAGTAAATCACCTTTTCCTGTTCTGTTGTGTACCAGTTAGTTTGCTGTGTGTACTTCATTCATCTTGGAAGACAGAGAACAACCCCTGTGCCTACAGTTAAGCCTCTTTTCGAATACATAGGTTGGGGATGGAGATAAAAAGTCAGCAGGGAAGTGCCAAGTATCACTGCCAATCAAGATTTCTGTTTCTTCTCTTTATTACATCTAGATTTAAATTCACAGAAAAAATGTTTCCATTAACTCTGCTGCTAGGTAAGATGTATCCAACCAAAGTTTCACACAACTGTGAGAGAAGTTCACTTTTGAAGACTAGTGCTAAGAATTTCTTTCCTGATTCTCTTCAGTGAACACTCCTCTCTACTTGAGGCATTTCATTGATCCAGTACAATTTATCCATGTTGTCTAGTGTCTTACTGGTAATTTTGCCAGGTAACAGTAAGGGTTGCCATCCTATTTAGGTCTGATGTGGAGAAAATACTAACTTCTTTTCTGAAAAGGAATGTAAATTAGGTAGAAATTAAGCCCTGCCCTTTTTTGGCTCCTAGCCCAGCCACCAGCTACAAAGGGGCAGGAAGGGCGGAAGGGTGTGAGCACACGTGTGCATCCCTGTCTGCAAGTACCTGATGCTCTTGTGTCATTAATTGTCCAGCCAAGACAAGACTCACCATCTCACTTGGACAGGAGGGACTGGGAGAAAGCTGACATCCAGGATTCTACCAAGGGTACTTACTACTCATTTTAATTATTATTTTAATAAAATTTTAATGTTGTTATATTAGTTATAGTTTTTGTTCTATTATATTAGTATATTATAAATGGCAGGATATTTTCAGCATCAGGAGCTTGTTTTTTCCAGTGTTACGCCACTCATCTCACTGAATTTAGTGAGCTGGCATTTCTGATTGGTGTTAAAACTGTGTAACAGCATGAAAAATTTGGTACTTACTGTCCTGTGTCTGAAATCTAAAAACAACCAATGAAATAAGAAAAATACCAATTGTAAAAAATTAACTAAGCAATGGCAAAAAGCCTCTAACTGTGTAGTGTGGGCTGCATTTTCTGTTGCTTGTCTAGTATTTTATTGTCCCCCTGGAAGTGTTGCAACTGCCAGTGACCAGTCCTGCCCAGTTTCTGCATTATCTCTGCTCCGCCCTGGTGTAAAATTTGCTTAACTTCCTGTGTCCAGCTGGTGGAAGATGATGGACTCTCATGCATGAGGATGTTGCTATGAAGACCCACTCCAACTATGAGAAAACATAATAATCTGCAGGAATTGGGTCCCTATTCCTATGTTAGTTAGCAGGCACCCAGTTTGGCTCTCACTTTACTGTGACTTAATTTGACTGATTTCAGATGTATTTACTCTGGGTTTCTAAGTGGGGACATAAGAGCCTGGATCCTGATGTGCAAAGGCCATGCGAGGAATCAGGGTAACAGGGGCTGCCTACATGGGGAAATTAACTGGACTCATTTATCAGAGTATATTGTGATCTGGAATACCAGTAATTTTAATTGCAGAATTTGAATAAATTTCTAAAGAGAAGTGATTATTGCAGAAAAAACTAATTTGCATTACAGAACAAGGTGTACAGACTGGTAACTCCTGTGCAATTGCTTATCACAGAATGCTATTCTAATTAATTTACCCAATTAGATGAATCCACAGGGATGATGGGTTATCAGCTCTGTTCCATGTCACGTTAGCTGTGTATGAATGCTGTGGTAAGGTTATAGACAAAATTAGCAGGATCTGGACAGAAGATTAAATGCATTTAGTGTGTAACCAGAAAAGTTTAAAACTGAAAAACTATGACTCAAATGTGAAATAAAGTCAATTTAAAAAGCAGAATCAATCCTGTCTTATATTCCTTATCTAACTTTCTTTTTTTCCCCTGACTAGTAGGCTAACATCTATTTGGCATTAATATGTCAGAAGTCAGTGAGTTTTCAAGGACAAAATGTTTTAAATGCCAAGCATTCATATATGTAATTATACCTGTTAAGGTTATGTAATTATGTCTCTAAAAACCTGTAATTTCTCTTCATTTCTATGTAGCATGAAACTTGTAGGTACAAGGAAAAGATTAAATTTTGGAATATAAACATGTTCAGACACATTGAACATAGAAAACCCATCACCAAAATTATGAGTGCATACATCTTAAACATGTTACGATAATAAAAAAAAATTAAAAATTTAGTCACAAAAGGAGCAGTGTAACATGAAATTTTCTGAAATTAGCCAGATCTCAGAGTGTTATGCAGGAATTTTCAAGAGATCTTCTCTCTTACAGCCGCGATGCAAGAAGGATCTACAGAAGAGCTCCACAGCAGCCACCCATGTGAGAGCAAACTAAACGAGCATGCTGGAGAACTGGTTAACAGCAGCAGGAAGGCAATGGTGACAGGAGGTGGAGGCCACCTGGGATACAATCTGGGATGTGCTCTTGTCAGGTCAGGAATTGCTGTTGTTCTGTTTGATGTACAGAAACCTAAATGGGAAATTCCAAATGGAGCAGATTTTTTCAAGGTATGTTGCAATTTAACAGCAGTGAAATAGTTGTACTCCTTTTGTGCACATTAACAAGGCTTCCTCTGAAGGATTTTTTATGAAAGCATTTACTGGAAAGCCTTTAAAGACAATAAGAAGTTGTGATAAAAGATCCTCATGTGCATAAGTAACTGATTAAGAGATATCAAGTAGGAATACAGGTGGTCAGTTCTGAAGAGCCCTCTGTGGGATGTGCCATTCAACACATTCATAGCTCACCTAGGGGAAGGAGAAAACAATGAAGTTTACTGCTCAGGGAAATGATTTCAAGTAAAAAGGTGAGAGCAAGACAGGACAATAAAAGTGATCACACACGTTGAATGTCTGCCATGCAGAGAATGATTGAGAAAACCAAGACTTTCCAGTCTGCGAAAGAGATGACTTGGGAGTAGGAGAGCTCTGCAAACTGAGTGGCATGGTGGAGATAGATGGCATTGACAGTTCATTGTACTTCCACTCCACTTGGAAGGGCCGGAAGGTGAAACAAGGAGTCAGTTCAACACAGGGGGAGGGTGCTTTTTTTTATGCAGTGGGTAAATGGCATGTACAAATTCTCACAACAAATTTACTTCCATTGGAGATTGCTAAATAAATAAGCTAAATTAGGGTTAAGAAGTTTTCTGAATGAAAATACTTGGAGACAGAGAAGTATTTTGGAGGAAAGTATCACAGATGCTTGACATGTTCCTGCACTTCTCAGGGCACCCATTTATGAGCACTGATGCCTTTTGATTCTTAACAATTCAAGGAATTTATTTTATCTGCAAAAGTGGGAAACAAAAGAGGCCTGAAATATTTAACAGCTCACGGCCATACGTGGAGGAAAAGTCCTTGATGTGGGTAGCAGCAACTCCTCACAGCTGCTTCACCTACTCAGATTTGGGTGTCTGGGTGCCCTGGCACATTCTGCACAATCCTGTCATCTTGCACAACTTCTAGCTAGATGTAGGGTGTAATTCAGCTGATCTTGTATGAGCATTTGGTGGAAGAACTCTTTGGCACCACCACTATAACTAGGAAGTTGATGGCAAAACTAAATGTGATCACAGGAACCTTGTTCCAGGGGATATCATGGTGATGCCAGATTTTCTCCTTTTGGTTACATCACCATGTGTAACAGGCAGTAAGGGAGGCAAAAGGGGATGCAGGAGACTGGTCTGCATGGTTGTGTAGTGTGCAGAACACTGGGCTAAGCAGATCTTTACTCTGACCCAACATGGTTTTTCTCATATCCAGCTTCATAAATAGCTTTCACAGAATATGGAAGAGAGAAACTACTATTGATGAACCATTCAAAAACTATAAGCTTGTTTTGTTGATTTTATAAATGCACATAACTTGATTTAAGTTGGTGGATTGGTGGCAATTTACACCTCTTAGAAGAGACTGGACATCTGACCAACAGCCTGAGAACAGGTTTTTTTAGAATTCAATTTAAAAAGAAAAATAGGTAAATTACCTAGAAAACGGAAGTACAGAGTCCTGGTAGAGAAAAGTATTAAGTCACTTCAGACATCTAAGCCTTGATCCGTGATTTGGAGCTTGCTAATAACTGTTTATACTGGTTTAGCTATTGTAACACTTGGTTGAAGGCAGGAAATCTAAGTCAGCCCTGTTAGTGAAATACTTTGGCAACCTCAGAAGAAAAAAGTTGAGTGTTAAAGACCCTTTAGATTACCTCTTAATATTACCTCCAGCCATTTCTTATGGGATTATTGTATTAACTTAATTACAGCAAATTGAATAATATGTCATACTTTGGAATATAATTCTGAAAAGAAGGGTATTCTGTTTTTATTGACAACTGTGTATGTGGAGTATTACTCATCTAGTATTACTTGGTATAAAGAAATGCAATATAATATTCTAAGCACAGCACAACATTAGATAGTAAATATTGTGTGTGTGTTTAATACAGAGCAGTGTTTAGTGCTATTAAGCATTTAATATAATGCAATTGTCATACACTAATGCATAGTAATACAATATTAAATACATATAGTGTGTACTTATTTTAATCTTGTACAAAGCTGTAATTAAATTTATCATGCAGCCTAAATTTATCGTGCACCTAAAGCAAAGCCTGGATGGGGAAAGAGACATTCTTCCAGGTTGCACAAGTCTGATCTCAAGGTGCTAACAGAAAAGGGATTCTCTTATTTGGTA